TTCATCGCAGTTTGTTCGTACTTCGGGTACTGGACTGGACTCCATTCACACTTTTAACACCAGGTGGGGTAATTTGCTGTGCCTTGTACAAAAATGTGAACTGTATCAGTTTAAGGTCCTTTCCGTTATTCCGTTATACTTGAATTTTGTTGAAATTTGAGATCCTTAAGATAGATAAAACTTTATTCGCACTAACATGCACACATACAAAATTGAAGACAAATTTTATAATTATATAAATCCTTTAAAACATGCAACAAATTATATTTATATAACTATACTATGATATTTTCGTGTGCAGCAGCGATGCGAATGGGCGAAAACTCAGCGTAACATTTACTCAGAGAGTAAATCGCTGATTTTCAGTTCTGACCCATATAGATGAGGTCACGCAATTATATGTCAGATTAAAATTCACAATACAATAAACGAAATTAAATACAAAAATCAATTAAACATTCATTAGACATATAACTGTTATGGTACATTTACGTAAACATAAAAACAAAGAAAAAAAAAATTATACATTATACTAGTGAGAAAATATTTGTAATTTTTATTTTTTAAGCACGTAACTGCTTGATATTTAAATCTAAAGAAATTAATTTCGACGAAAATAAAATTAAAGCACACAACACCAACGCCGACAACTCCGCACCCAAGCAATTAATTTCTGGATATTCCAATTTTCAGTTGTTCTAATAAAGATGATTTCATTTATTATGTGTTTTAAAAGTTTGTCTGCACGGAATTAGTCTTAAGGGTGGAGGTATGTTATTCCAGCATTTAGTCGCTTGGTAGCGGACACTGTGAACGGTGAAGCCAACGGTTCTGTGTTGGTAGGTGTTCAAAGATTCGGTACAACGAGCGCGGTCCATAGAACTTCATAGAAAACTTTTAAACGATAAAAGCAGTTTTTTACTAGATTAAGCACATGACTTTCAAAAAGCAATCGACTGTCAAATGTTATTCCCAGGTTCTTTGTCTCTTGAACACGTTCAACATTTGTGCCCAGAACTTGAACAACGGGTAGATCACGTAAAATGTTTTCGGTTTGCTTTTTGGTACCAATTAGCATACACTACGATTTGAACGGATTCAGTACGAGAGCATTGTCTTTAGACCAGGAAGCTATAGAATTCAAATTTTCGTTTAATTTGCTGACCGCCTGAGATATTTTAGCAGGTTTTTCGGATTTATAGCTGAATATCATCTGCATAGAAGTGAAATTTACAGTTTTTGATTACTTTTGACAGAGCCGCACTGTATATAACGAAAGAAGCGGTCCAAGTATTGAACCCTGAGGGACACCACGTGACATCGGTTTAGGTTCTGAAGTAAGAAAAAATCCATTCTCCCTACGAAGCCGTACCGCTTAGTTCCGGTGACTAAAGTAGCTACTGAACCATTTAACTGAGTGAGGTTGAAAACCGTAAAAAGTTAATTTTGCAAGCAGTAATGGAACGTTTAAGCAATTAAATGCACGTGAAAAATCAAGCAGAGCCAGCATAGTACTTCGTCTTGCGTCCTGTTCAGCTAATATATTATCTGTAACATCGAGTAAAGATTAACGGTACCACGACCCTTACGAAAACCCGATTGAAAAATTGGCAAAATTTCACTATCTTCAACGTATTTTTATTAATTGATTATATACAGCCTTTTCCAAGATTTTTGATAAAAAAGGTAAAATAATAATAGGTCTTAGGTCTTTAAGCTCAGCCGGAGGTTCAACTTTAGGGATTGGCGTTATTAGTGCTGACTTCCACTGATGAGGTACCACACCTGTGATTAAAGATCTGTTTACTAAATCCGTAATAACTGATAGTGTCCTTGGAAGGGTGAGCAAAATCATGTCCCTGCTTATACCGTCACTGCCAACGGCATTAGATTTTATAGATAAAAAGTAATTGGAAACGTCAGTTTCAGTGACAGTATATAGCTTAAAAGGAGATTTTGTAGTATCAAATCTGTGTCTTTGAAAATAAGAGAGCAGTGAAGTATCACTTTTGTCTGACCCAGGCGTTTTCAAAAAGTGATCATTGATTACGTTTGGATCACTAAAGCCTTAGTATTGGGCAGAACTGTGTCCTTGAAGTTTCTCCTTATTTGAATTAATATAGTGGTCAGACTCGCTTCTCATTATTAATATTTGTTGACACCAAAGTTTTGAGATCCCTATAATATTGTTTGTGTATATCATGTTTGGACTCACGGTATGTTTTATGAGCTTCATTACTTAAATTAATCATGAGCTTTATCGTTTCCGTTATCCAAGGTAGGGATTGGTTAGTTTTAAATTTAGCTGTTTTCAGCGGAGCGTGTTTGTTAAAAAGTGACAAAAGAAGCAGGTTAAAACGTTCAACCATGCGCTCTACTCTAGACAAAGCAGAAACAGAATCCTAGTCCATAGCATAAAGATCCTCACTAAATTTTGTCATATTGATCTTATAAAGTGGTCTAGAGGTAATAACACGAGGCGGAACTTTACTTTTCTTCAATGGGATACTGAAATTTATCATTGAATGACCTATGTTTCCGGTAATATTTGTGACCGTTAGGTTACGAGCACCACAGTTAGTGCAGACAAGATCAATTAACGTGTAAGTATCAACAGATGATTGTGTAGGCTCTTTTACAAACTGCTTAAGGTCCAAAGTGTGTAAAAACTCATTAACCCTTGAGACATACTTACTGGCCGTATTAAGCATATTGACATTAAATCCCCCATAGCGATGAAATTTATTTTCTGTATTCGATATTGAAAAAATCAATTAATATCAAACTAGTATCTCAACTGAAACTCCTCGTCGAAAAAGTCTACTCGAACAAAAAGTAGCACTTTAAAGTTCAATATTTTGCAAACGGATTTCAGAATCGGAAAATAGTCCTAGAAAACCCTAAGTTATTTTAAAGGACTCATTCACGATACCCCACACGAGGGGGTAGACGATGAAAAATAAAAACATCCCCAGGTTACATGTGGGGGAGCTACCCTAAAAATATTTTTTTAAATTTTATTCTACCATTTTGTCGGCATGATTGATTTACGTGTCTTCACAAAATTACAGTTTTCTAGTGCTAATAGTCTCCAACCAAAGCGGGGACGGACAGACAGACGGACATAACGAAACTATAAGGGTTCCTTGTCAGGACTACGGAATCCTAAAAAACTGACAAACAACGTTGAAATAGAAGATTTGTTTTAATCTAGGTATCTGTTGTAGTTGCTTAATTTATATTTCTATTGAGAAAAGTATTATTTTGAAACAATTATAAATAGGTATACATACATTTTGAATTTGACAATTTTGTGAATGTAATTTTCTCTACAGTGAACTATGTACCTATTGGATCACCAATAAATAATATCAGTTTTAATAGCAAAGTAAATATTAATGCCTTCATTACTTACTACCTAGTTTTCTTCTATTGATTGAGCAGTCTAGTGATATTAATGACTTTAACTGGTAATAGAAATAAATGTAATTACTTTGGCGTGTTTCCTATTCATACGTTAAAATGGCCGAATATTAAAATAGGTATTCAAAGAAAGAAAAAGGATGTTGTTAATTATAAACATGTTTCTTTAACTGTTATTTAAGAAAATTGGTACGTAATGGTATGGTGACTTGGTATGTTAAATAATATACAAAACGAAAAACTTCTCTATTACAATATGAAAAAAAAAAACTAAAACATATTTATAGATACAAGTTGTATTCAGAGAAAATAATTTATTGCCTCATTAAGTAATGTATTATGTTATACATTTGAAACCAAAAAGACCGCGTCCAATTAAGTCAAACTCAACAGTTAATTTACCGCTTTGAGTTCTTCTGTCATATTTTAATTTATATTTTTTTAGTGAAAGTAAGTTACTTTGCTAGAACATGAAAAATGAGATTAATAGTTGTTCACGAACAAAAAGTTGATATAAAGTTTTAACACACACCGCCCCGAATAAAAAGCAGATAAAATGAATATCAAGTGCGCAGGGAAAAGTTTTACTCCACTTTATTTTACTTAAGTATAATATTAAGAAAAAATATTCAGACTTCAAGCTAAAATAAATCAATTGATGAAGTTATTTTAGAATAGAAATGTTCGAGTTGAATTGAAAATGATGGCATTAAGTGTAACCATTGGCAACGCATGTTTTTTGCCTGTTCTGCAAAAGTTGCAGACTGATGTTTAACTATTCACTACACAGCTGAAAAAAAGTCCTTACTAACGGGTGGTCAATTGAAAAAGCATTAAATTTGAGCAAAGAAGGTTTGACTTTCTGATAGTCTTTCTAATTAATGCTTTTATTAATAGTTCTTGTTAAAAGTACCCTTTAGCTCTATCGGAGTCCAACTAGAAAACGTAAAAATATGTTTTTGACAATTTGAATTGCTTTGGGTCAACAAGATATTGAACTTTGAAACCTCAACCGTATGGACTAACTTCAAAATTGAGATGGACATGTGACTTATATAAATCTCGACATGAGACGCATAAGGTCCGATGTCCGATTTATCAACTTTTCAGGAGAGCCAAATGAAAATCTGAGTAGAAATTTGAAAAAATGCCTCTTTTATTATTATTTTAGCTAAATTTTTACATACTCACATTACAGTAAACTTTTGTGCCTTTTATTTTTTACGTTTATAATCGACATATTAATAGTAATAATTATACTTTTTATAAAAAAACATGATATCCAACCTTATGCTTGTACGATTAGATGTGTAATCTAAATTTTTTATTTCTTACTTAAGATATTGCTTTATGCTTGAATTGTTTGAAGATATTCTAATTGGTTTTTAGGTCCTATAATAACAAATAGCTTTATGGGTTGATTTAAAGAAACTTAAGTTAGTAGTCTCATTTAAAGTTAGGTACCTATGGCAGAACACAATAAGGTTAGATTGAAATAAAATTAAAATCTCTTCTAAACATCTTATCATTAAACAGAAATAAAATTATCAGTCTTGAAAAGTATTTAAATTTAAATATTAATCATCAGTTTCTGGAAAATCTGACGCATTGTTTGAATGAGATAAGTTTTTATAGAATCCATGTAATTCCTCCGGTATCCATTGCAGCAATGTCATCAAATCATTGTATTTCGCCGTCGATATGGGTTTTTCGTTTAATCGTAATTGTGGTAAATCTTCTGGGAGCGCGGTCTTTTTCGATATATTTCTAATAAGAGATACTTCGGAAAAATCCTGTGTGAAATTGTTTTTATAAAACAAAATTCCGGGCTGCTCTTGTCTAACTTGCAACAAAACACATTCTGAAATTTTAAAATCTTTTCCTTACTTATTTTTTTTCCTTGCAACAAAAGGTCCATTTTTCTTGTACAGTACAGTTAAATCTTTGAAATGGTGAGATTGCATTTCAAATACATCAAATTTTCTCTTTCCTCCACAAGTTTGAATGAATTGGGACCAGTCTTGTGGTACAGCAATCTGCATTGTTTTTAACCGCCTTTTCTTCTGCTCTATTTGAGAGTGTATTTGATCGACTTCCATATGGGTGTGACCCTTGAGCATGAATTTGTGGCTTATTATTTTTAGTTGGGGACACTTATGAAGCAACCACATGTAAGCCAATACCACCATTAAGTTTCGGTTTTGTCCCGCGCAGTTATCAGACCAGAAAGTGAGCTCTCTAACGTTAACAATGTTTTCCATATTCTCATTCGCCCAGCGAATCAGACAGGATGCTACCTCGTTTCCCCCTCTCCCGCTTATATTTTCAGACCATATAACATTTGTTGCAATATTAGATGTTGAATCAAAGATTGTCAAGTTTAATGTCCAAAGTTTTCTTAAGTAAAAAGACTTACAATTAGTGAGATTCGGTGTTGCCATACACTTTTGTAAATCAAACATCAATACCTTTTTTTCACCTAAACTTGAATCTGCTTCACTTTTGTCTTTCTTCTTCAGTTTATATCTCTCTTCAGCGGCAATATCATGAACTTCCTTATCTTTTTCTATTATTTCTTTCGTTTCTTCATCTTTAGCATCCAGTAGCTTTCTTTGATATGCGTCGCAGTCATCACAAGTATCTACTGATGGAAGTTTAAAGCTTAAATTGAACTTTGTATTAAATATATTGCGGTATAACCAGTCTTTTGCGACTAAATTCGAAGGAATCTCTTTTTCTGCCATCCATTCTTTGTACTGTTTGTACATGGTAGGAACGTTTAGGTTTGGTCCCAAAAACTTTCGTTTGCTCTTTTCCCTTGAATAGTGGCTTTCGTAATTAGGATACATGTTGATGTGGTCAATCACCGATTGAATTACCACTGCAGGTGATTTATTAGAAGGGATATGCTTTCCTCTTTGGTCAGGGGCGACTAAACCACAGTCAAGTTGTTTTACCAAACTTAATTTCAAAAATTTATCACCTATACAAAGTGTGTTAAGAAACATCACCTTGCACACTTTTTGGCTTTCTGAATTGACGACGAGCCTGTAGATATAAGTAAACTTTCTTCTGTCTGTATCTAAATTTCCATTGGTTTTCATCAAATGTTTTGGTTCTTTTGTGATATGGTTAGCTAAAAACTGTCGACGCTGATCCCAACTAGAGCATGTTTTCCAAAATTCCTTAAAAATTTGGAGCCTTATATTATCAGGAATTTTTTCGTAACATTTATGTCTACATGCACACGGAGGCTTTAGCTGTCGACCTTCAACATTAGGTTTCTTTTTGGCCACAGTTGAATGATAGGGAGATCCTTTTAATCTGGCAACTTTTGAAACAACCCTCTTCCATTTATCTACTTGTTTCTGCTTTTTCCTACAGTTCACTTTTAAAGGAGTCCTGTGAGACTGTTGCATATTTATATTATCTGTAATTATTTCATTTTGTATGTAAATATTTCCATTCATATCTACGACCATAATATTGTTCTTGATATTATGTCGTTCTTCGTCCAATGGGATAGCCGAAACAGTCCTACAAAGGGCAAACTCACAGTTGTCTTCATGAATATTGTTTGTAGCTGATGGAATAGGCTCATTATAATATATGCTGGTTTGAGTATTATCAATAACATTGTTAGGGTATTTTTGGCATGTATTATTAATGACATCTTCTGAAGAATCCATTGAGACAATTTGTTGGGCCATTTTGATTTGATTGTCAAATCCAGAAATATCAAAGGAAGTACCAGGTTCTTGATACTTTTCAGTGGTATTTAAAAGGTCGTCCAAAGTTATAAGATCGTTATTATTAATCTGGTTTTGAAGTGATTTGTCTGGTGTGAATAGATTTTTTTTTACTAAATTTCTACGACTTTGCGGAATGTCATGTTCCGGTGAATTACTGATGTAACTATCATCATCTGAACAATCTTTGCTAGGATCATAAGTTTTGTCTTTCACACTGTCATCACTGTCATAGTCAAAAGCCATTCCTTTATAAGTTGAAAATATTAATACATCAATTATTTAATACCCCAATTCAGTAAACACAAGCATAAACATATCGTCAAGTGATGACATACCTTCACTTTTATTCATATTAATATAATTATGGTTTACAAAACTGCTGACATCAGTGTCGTTGTTTGGTTCTAAAAAGATTTCATAATTTTACTTTAATATGGTACAGCATGAGTAAATATCACAATTATTACAATTGATACCGGAATATACTTATTTTTTGTTTTTACTAGTATAAATAAATAAAATAATCGTAAAAAATACGTAAAAATAACAGGAACTCGGGATAATAAGAATATAAGGGAGTTCCTATTATTTTTGCATTTCATTTCAATGCGAAAGTTGGATTCATTGTATGGATGTTTGTTACTCAAATCACGCCAAAGTAACTGTAAGGATCTGGATGAAATTTGGCGTAGAAATAGATTATAGTCTGGAATAGTCGGATGAAGACGCAGGTACAACCGCGACTTCATCTATGTCATATCTGTGGCACTGTTTATAGGGATAATAAGGCTTCAATGTTCTTTTATTACTGTTTTATTATAAACTAGTGGCCCGCCCTCGCTTTGCTTCGGGGTAGAATTGATCAAAATCCTTTCTTAGTGGATGCCTACGTCATAACATCTACCTGCATGCCAAATTTCAGCCCGATCCGTCCAGTGGTTTGGGCTGTGCGTTGATAGATCACTATGTCAGTCAGTCACCTTTGAGTTTTATATATATAGATTACTTGCTTCCACCCACAACTTCTTCTTAAAACATGGGGACTCCCTATAAAAAATGATGTGTGAAGAGGTACCTTATGGCAGACTAGTGCAGTCCAATTCATGCCGCACTAATCGTCTTCACATTTGGATTTCGCTTGCACCAAACGGGGTTGAATTATGCTATCTTCGTATTAAAAAAAACTGTGCGCCAAATGTCATCCAAATCTGTTAAGCCGTTTTTGGGTGATTGAGTAACAAACATCCATCTATCCAAATTTTTATTCTTAGTAAGAATTTCATAGAAACATTATTAAAATAAACTTTGTATTTAATTTTCAAAAGATAAAGCTATTTTAAAGGACGGACCTAATAGAAAAAAAGGGCTTGTAGACTTGGTAATAGAATCCCGTGCTCCTGCTTATTATACCAAAATAACTTATTTGAAAACCTGGTAGGAACTCACCTGCAAATGCATTCATGCTGACCTCACTATTCATCTGTTCTTGATATTTTGCCACTGACACAGGTTCGCCATACGTTTCCAAGTGATCTACAACAATGTAACAAAGTAGATACCTACCCCACGGTAATAATATCATACAGTATTCTATCTTCATACAAACGGTCGGAAAGCTAGTCATACCTACGCCACTCGAGTTCGATGTGCTCTCGGCGTGCACCGTCGCGAATGGTCGCGAATGCGCCGCCGCGCCGCAACGACGCGACGACCGAACGGTCTGAATTGTTTTTTATGCAGTTAGCCGTGCTTAAACATGCGTTTTGTATTGTAAATATTTGATTTAATTAAGTAGATACCTACATAATTTAGTATGGAAAAGAACAAACGACGATCAATATCGTACAACAGCACAATTGCTGTATTTGGTTGCTTGAACTCTTCAATAACACACCCAGAGATATAATTTTTTAAATTACCTGAAATATTGGAAAGGTGTCTTATTTCGGTTTTTCCATCGGGCAAAATATCTGGAATAATATATAAATAAGTGGTTAGGATGAAAAAAGAGACAAAACAAAACTACATACAATACTGTAGGCTAGCGGCCCTACCGCGTGCCAACACAGTGCTCGGTGTAGGCATTTATTTTCAAGGACAGGGCGGAGTCACAATACTGTATAGATAATATTACCGTGCCTACCCACATGAACCACAATAACAGTTTCAAACTCGACACTAACTTACCTATTCTGGCTTCTTGTGATCCTTCTTTGGAACCTATAATTTTTTCTCTGAGATTAGCCAATTTTCGCCGTTTATTAATTAACTGCAGGTATAACACATTCTGGAACATTATACAAAAAAGTAGGTTCAGGTTATTACATACAAAATTACATAAAACTACCTTTTCCATTTAATTAAGATGATTAACTGAACTTACCCTATGTTCTTCCTCCATTTTTATCATGTAAATGTTACAATAATCGCATCAATCACATCAAAATCACTAAACAAAGACTGTGATTGCTCATCGAAACTCTTGAAGCAAAATAGTGTAACAAATGAGCCGGCCGGTACGCGCTCGAACGAATACTAAACGCTTATTGGTCCGGTGGCATAGCGCGACGACGACAGCCGATTATCGCCAAAAATGTCCGATGTCATTCACTTTGAGAATATAATCAACCATAAAATTATAAGCATAACGTTGCTTATTCACTTACGTCGTTCAGAGCAGCGACAAAACTACACATTATACAGGCATAAGATATTAACCTAACATAAGTCCTACTAATTATAAAAAAATGTACGAAGCAAATAGATATATTTCATGGTAGGGACCTTGTTTACTTTATTTCGAGAAGCATAAAGTTGTATGTGTTCATAAATTTATTTTTGCACACAATAATGTTAGAAGCAAAAAGTAGCATGTCAAGAAATGTTCCTGGCACAAAATATTTAGAAGCATAAAAACTCAACTCAATATACGCCGTTACAATGATGCTAAGTATATAAGCATAAAAACTGAAGTTATTTTGAAACTTTATTCCTCGATTTATTTTAGTAATTTTGCGACATATGCCCTTATGCAACTCAAAAAAGTACACACAGAAAAGGGATAGAAACACGATTGTTAGTTCATTAGAAAGAGCTCGAAGAGCTGATTTTGCCTGGCTAAAAAAGTGATTTTGGTCCGATGTTAACATCAGACCTTATGCGTCTCACGTCGAGAAATATGAGTACGTTTGAACCTTTAAGCACATGAGTAGTAAATACAGACGAACCCCAAACATAAATAACTAGCGAGAAAGTTATTCGTATCGTCATGTCAAAGTTTCCATGAAAAAAGCTACTTTGTTCTTACGTCTGATAGGCTGCTTAGTTGCCATAGTAACTTAGACGTGGGCGATACGAATCCCGATCTATCAAAGTTCGTGTTTGGGGTACAGGTACGGAACACTAAAATGTATGACCCTGGAGCGTTTAAGTTTATATTGAGGTCGGATCTTTGGCAAACATCATTCTATAGACATAATAATTTCTGGTCTCTTTGTATATTAATAACTTACACCCAATGACCTTTTGCTTACACCAGTCAAGTCATCTAGAGGCGTGAAAAAGGAAGAGACAGTACCTATCTGCAAGAATATTTAAACGTTCTCGACTATGGAGTATTTACTAACCACGGTTGGGTAATCGCTCTGGATGCCGAGTGTATTGACTGTACCCTCGAGACAGATGTTATTAACTCCAGCCACTTGTCTTCGGAGAAAATCGCTTTCCTCTCCCCCCGTTCGAATCTTATTGAAATCGGCTATAATAGTAAACTAAAGTTGATGCAGTTGATTTGAATTTTTTAGTTATCAGGTTTTAATATACTGGTGCCTCAACATACATTACAATTGACTTTAGTGATTATTCTGAGATTGCAATGGACGTAATCTGTTGAAAAGTATGTCAAAGTATCATCTGAAAATAATCTATATATATTTTTTATATGAATTTTATATAAAAATAATGAAAAAATAAAGGTTACATATAACTGAGTTTTTGGTCATTAATTGCATTCTAGTGATAGGAAACTTTGGTAACTTTGTCTACTCTAGTGATAAGAAAAACAAACATTATAATCAAATAAGTGAGGACCATTAACTCAAACATTAGTTTCGAAAATGTTAGTGGTCAAGGGATACCGCATAGGTACAAGAAACTAACAGAGAAACTCAATTAATAAATCACGTCTCGTATCTTGACATAATTAGATTCCATAATGGAACTTTACTACATTACTGGCTTTGATATACACAATATACACCTAATAGGCAGAAAGCTCCAATTACGTCAAGAGATGTTATTAGACGAATACATTAAAGTGTGTTTGATTTGGTCCACCTGAGGAATGGGGTCGTGATATGAGAGACAAATCTGAAACACAAAAGTCAAGAAATTCTTGTTTTCAGGGTACCGTAGTAAACAAGAAAATTATATAGTTTGGCCAAGTTCGTCCAAGACGCTTATCTACTAGAAAGCTGAAATTTGGCATAGGTTAATCAAATTTTGCAAAAAAAACCTTATGTTTTCGTTGGCTAAGTCAGAAATATTGCGAGTTTGTGAAATAACTTAAAAAAAATTCTTTTATTTAAAGCTTTATAAGGATGGAATCTAAGGAATAAAGGTCACAGCTCATTAGACCCACACAGCACCCAATTAGCACCCCGCCTCAATTCGTGTGATTGATATTCTCTTTGTATGGATTTCTGTGGGTACGCTCGCTCGCTCACTACATCAACTCCGTATCGCAACGATATTAAATACCCTAGAGACACCACGTGTGCTATAAAATGTATCCCAATCAAGAAGTGCTTGATTGAACACAACTCAAGAACTTCTTAGTTGCGCGGACCGTTGAAAAGTCAACAAGCACCCCCAGACCTGCGTGAAAAAATGCGAAAAAACAAATACTTGTCAATAGTACGTAGAGTGTCGGTTTTTTGACAGGTATCTAATCAATGTTTGTTAATTTAACGCATTTCAAGCAAAGTTGTAATACTTACTATAAACTGAAATAATAGAAAAAAATGTGTTATTAAAATGGTATCATGTATGTTTGGTGGTTCAATATATATATAAAACTTCGCTGCTAATGCTGTTTTATTATATTTTATTATTTATTACAATTAAGACTTATCGAGAGATATGTGCACGCCATTCTAGGGGGCTAGTGTTGCCATAATGCTACCTAACAAATGCATGGTCGGTTACATAGCCGTCTCTTTTCTTCGCGGCTTGTACCTGCTATACCAGGCCACTCAGAAAGTTTTGCGAAAAAAAGTTTTTATGTATAAGACACTGGCCACTTGTTTTGAATTTTGAAAACTTCGATTATTTAAATGTAAAAATACCACTGTTTAATTTTCAAATTTCCCTCCTCAGTTTTTCGACAGCTAATTAAATTATTCATGTCTCATTAAAAAATGGATCTGCATCGAGAACATTTTCGTGCTATGATTTTTTATGGCTTGAGACCTAATGAGTCATTTGATCGATTTTGAACTGCTTTTTTCGATGAAGGACCTTCAAAAGCAACCATCTACCGCTGGTGTAGCGAGTTCAAACGCGGTCGTCTTACTTTGGGGAATGAACAAAGGAGTGGTCGTCGTACGACGGCTGTCACCAAAGAAAGTGTGCTAGCAGTAAAGCATGTAATTCAAGGAAACAGACTAATTACGTAAAATTTTACGAGCTTGCATTTCGAACTGTCATAACTCTTTGACGCATGCGTTTTAATTAAGACCTTATACAGTATGAATTACAGGTGACTTTCAATGTTTAAATAATACCTTATATTTTTTTGACTACGCGATCATCTTAGTGTCACCGCACACGGGCCACACGCCACAGCCACAAACGCTGCCACGAGAAGCTAGAAGCGGCTACTAAAGTGGCTGAAGCGCGCGACAGCGGCCGACTAAGGTAAGGGAGAGAGGGGTGGGGAATCGCGCGAGTGACGTGTAGCGGCGTTTTGTATCGGCGCATTAAGTGGCCTGTGCGGGCCACAAGAAGCGAGCAACGAAGATTTGTAGCGTGGCGGCCTCTGTCTTATCGTGTGTGGCGAGTCCATATAAAATGTATGAAAACTACAAGAAATATGTCGGTGGCGGTGGTGGTAGTGGTCGGTGGCCCGTGTGCGGCGACACTTACGGAGCTCCGTGGATCGCCACTGTACTTTTCGGAAAGATTTCGGCCACGATTTTGTTGTTGTTGTTGTGTCTAGGGTATTTAATATCGTTGCTGTACCGCTACGGGATCGCTCGCTCCATTCGCAAATTGTCCTCGCGCGGGTGGTGCGTAAACGACTCCCGCTGCTCACATCCTTGCCGTGTGCTGGCCGGTGGTTTTTAACGTCTTGTTCCTGAGTGGACTGCGCTGCCCGGCATTCGACAACGCCATCAAGTGAGACAGCTATTAGAGCTAATTGACTGTTTGTCAAATTAAACGTTGTGAAAACACACATCTAAACCTAGTGACGATTTCTAACACACTACCTAAATTTTCGCTGTCAACGCGGGCGGCGGCGCAGCGTTCACCCGTCGACCACCTGCCGTCCCCTTGAACAAAGTAAGTTTAAACAAAAATAAAAATTGATTTTTAATCATAATTTGGAGAAAGTTCAAGTTGTTGGAGTTATAAGTGTTGTTCCCCTCTTTCGTTTGTCAAGGTCACCCAATGGTTCTATGTACATAAGCAATCAATCTCAGAGAAGTTTGATCTGAGGAGAGTTCGTCTTTGACTTGTATTAAATTTTATCGTTGAAATTTGTTTAACGACACGGAATTGCGTCTGGTAAGTAGGTACTGAGTGGTGGTGTACTTATTTAATGGAAACTCAGAAGCAGATGTCAACTTGTAAGTTATCTCTGTGATAAATAATCATGCTTCAATGTTTGCGGAAATTATGTTGCTGAGCGTAATACCGATACACACAGCTTTCTTTCTACCCCACGCTTGGAGTTGAGTTTGCCGAGTGTAAAATAAAATTAATAATTTCTGGACAAATTAGCAATTTACAAGGACTATATAATATAGAGGAGCTCGATGGCACAAGTGGTTAGCGCGTTCGGCTGCGATCGTTGAAGTTAAGCAAATTTCGCAGTGGTCGGTCATTGGATGAGTGACTAAAAATTTACTATCTCGAGTTCCTCCGTGCTTCGGAAGGCGTTGGTCCTGGCTGTATCTGCAGTTGTTAGTACCCGCCAATCCGCACTGGGCCCGCGTGGTGGGTCATGGTCCAATCTCCCTATTCCGTCCATAGGGAAGGCCTGTGCCCGAGCAGTGGGGACATTAATAGGCCGATGATGATGATATAATATAATATTAAATTAAACTGGATGGAATAAGCACAAAAGTAATCAAGTGCCTGAGGGACGTGATTGCCGATAGGTTAGCGAAATGTATCAACGAGTGCTTATTGCGCGGTGTTTTTCCTGATTCACTAAAAGTTGCAAAAGTTAGTCCCATTTATAAATCCGGAAGTAAAACAGACCCTAGTAATTACAGGCCGGTGTCTGTCCTTCCTGTCATTTCAAAAATATTTGAACGTGTTTTGTATGACCGCCTAAACACTTAAATAACAGATAAAAAATACGTATATTAAGCTAGCAGACCATGGTCGCAACGCGCACATCTAACCTACTGGGTATTTAGTTGCTAATTAGTTGCTAATTAGTTACACTATTCCCGATTTAGTTGCTCAACACCTGTAAAAGATACATGCGATCTGCTAGATTAAGTCTTAACCTAGCAGACCACAATACTGTATCTTCGGTTCTCGTAAAGATATCGAAGTTCTGCAAACGGCATATTTAGTTGCTAATTAGTTGCTAATTAGTTACACTATTCCCGATTTAGTTGCTCAACACCTGTAAAAGATACATGCGATCTGCTAGATTAAGTCTTAACCTAGCAGACCACGATACTGTATCTTCGGTTCTCGTAAAGATATCGAAGTTCTGCAAAGGGCATATTTAGTTGCTAATTAGTTGCTGTAGGACAGCATTATTTGTATTATCCCCCCATCATCCCTTAATTGCCGCACCAGCACCCACACTACCCCCGAAATACGATAAAATTAAAAAGAGCTCATCAGAGAATATAAACTACGGCGTATTTCGTTGCTAATTAGTTGCTGCAAAATAGCGTTGTTTAAAAAATTTAATTATCAACCCTTAACTCCAGATCATCCCTGAAACCACCTCGGAATAGGACGATACCGGAAAATTCTCGTAGGTGGAAAATAGACGCGGGATATTTAGTTACTAATTAGTTGCTCGTCAAAAACGCAGATAAGAGTATTCTACAAACATCCCCTAACCTCAGATGCAACCCCTCTACTCACTTAGAAACAGTAGATGGTTGGAATTCGCACGCAGATGTTTAAAACTGCTGGATGTTCTGTTGCTAATTAGTTGCTCGCCAAAAACGCAATTAAGAGTATTCTACAATCATCCCCTAACCTCAGATCCTACCCCTCTACTCACTTAAAAATAGTAGACGGTTCGAATTTGCACGCAGATGTTTAAAACTGCTGGATATTTTGTTGCTAATTAGTTGCTCGCCAAAAACACAATTAAGAGTATTCTACAATCATCCCCTAACCTCAGATCCATCCCCTCTACTCACTTAAAAATAGTAGATGGTTCGAATTCACACGCAGATGTTTAAAACTGCTGGATATTTTGTTGCTAATTAGTTGCTGCAAAATAGCGTTGCTTATAGTATTTGATTATCAACCCTTAACTCCAGATCATCCCTGCAACCACCCCAGAATAGGACGATATCGGAAAATTCTCGTAGGTGGAAAATAGACGCAGCATATTTAGTTGCTAATTAGTTATAATTTTTATTATTTTTAAAGCATGTAACTGCTTGATGATTAAATCTAAAGAAAATATAACTAGAAAAATTCCACGCGGACCAGGCAGCAGACGGGACTCGAACCCGCACCCTTCGCAATCCGGGCGAATGCACTGACTAATTATGCTACCGCGGCCCTCACGGACCGCGTCGAAATTCTTTCTAGCTATTCTTAAGCTGCAAGGCAGCGCCATCTCTTCGCATTATAGGTAAACCCACAATGTCAAATGAATACTTTTACAAGTATTAAACATTTGAAAGAAGAAATAGCAATTTATAGTTATAATTTTTATTATTTTTAAAGCATGTAACTGCTTGATGATTAAATCTAAAGAAAATATAACTAGAAAAAATTCCACGCGGACCAGGCAGCAGACGGGACTCGAACCCGCACCCTTCGCAATCCGGGCGAATGCACTGACCAATTATGCTACCGCGGCCCTCACGGACCGCGTCGAAATTCTTTCTAGCTATTCTTAAGCTGCAAGGCAGCGCCATCTCTTCGCCATTATAGGTAAACCCACAATGTCAAATGAATACTTTTACAAGTATTAAACATTTGAAAGAAGAAATAGCAATTTATAGTTATAATTTTTATTATTTTTAAAGCATGTAACTGCTTGATGATTAAATCTAAAGAAAATATAACTAGAAAAAATTCCACGCGGACCAGGCAGCAGACGGGACTCGAACCCGCACCCTTCGCAATCCGGGCGAATGCACTGACCAATTATGCTACCGCGGCCCTCACGGACCGCGTCGAAATTCTTTCTAGCTATTCATAAGCTGCAAGGCAGCGCCATCTCTTCGCATTATATAATATATAAAAATAATAAAAATTATAACTATAAATTGCTATTTCTTCTTTCAAATGTTTAATACTTGTAAAAGTATTCATTTGACATTGTGGGTTTACCTATAATGCGAAGAGATGGCGCTGCCTTGCAGCTTAAGAATAGCTAGAAAGAATTTCGACGCGGTCCGTGAGGGCCGCGGTAGCATAATTGGTCAGTGCATTCGCCCGGATTGCGAAGGGTGCGGGTTCGAGTCCCGTCTGCTGCCTGGTCCGCGTGGAATTTTTTCTAGTTATATTTTCTTTAGATTTAATCATCAAGCAGTTACATGCTTTAAAAATAATAAAAATTATAACTATAAATTGCTATTTCTTCTTTCAAATGTTTAATACTTGTAAAAGTATTCATTTGACATTGTGGGTTTACCTATAATGCGAAGAGATGGCGCTGCCTTGCAGCTTAAGAATAGCTAGAAAGAATTTCGACGCGGTCCGTGAGGGCCGCGGTAGCATAATTGGTCAGTGCATTCGCCCGGATTGCGAAGGGTGCGGGTTCGAGTCCCGTCTGCTGCCTGGTCCGCGTGAAATTTTTTCTAGTTATATTTTCTTTAGATGCTAATTAGTTGCTCGCCAAAAACGCAGTTAAGAGTATTCTACAATCATCCCCTAACCTCAGATCCATCCCCTCTGCTCACTTAAAAATAGTAGACGGTTCGAATTTGCACGCAGAAGTTTAAAACTGCTGGATATTTTGTTGCTAATTAGTCGCTCGCCAAAAACACAATTAAGAGTATTCTACAATCATCCCCTAACCTCAGATCCATCCCCTCTACTCACTTAAAAATAGAAGACAGTTCGAATTTGCATGCAGATGTTTAAAACTGCTGGATATTTTGTTATTAATTAGTAGCTCGCCAAAAACGCAGTTAAGAGTATTCTACAATAATCCCCTAACCTTAAATCCAACCCCTCTACTCACTTAGAAACAGTAGATGGTTGGAATTCGCACGCAGATATTTAAAACTGCTGGATGTTCTGTTGCTAATTAGTTGCTCGCCAAAAACGCAATTAAGAGTATTCTACAAACATCCCCTAACCTCAGATGCAACCCCTCTACTCACTTAGAAACAGTAGATGGTTAAAATTCGCACGCAGATGTTTAAGACTGCTGGATGTTTTGTTGTTAATTAGTTGCCGAAAAATAGCGTTGCTTATAATATTTGATTATCAACCCTTAACTCCAGATCATCCCTGCAACCACCCCAGAATAGGACGATTTCGGAAAATTCTCGTAGGTGGAAAATAGACGCGGGATATTTAGTTGCTCATTAGTTGCTAATTAGTTACACTATTCCCGATTTAGTTGCTCAACACCTGTAAAAGATACATGCGATCTGCTAGATTAAGTCTTAACCTAGCAGACCACAATACTGTATCTTCGGTTCTCGTAAAGATATCGAAGTTCTGCAAACGGCATATTTAGTTGCTAATTAGTTGCTAATTAGTTACACTATTCCCGATTTAGTTGCTCAACACCTGTAAAAGATACATGCGATCTGCTAGATTAAGTCTTAACCTAGCAGACCACGATACTGTATCTTCGGTTCTCGTAAAGATATCGAAGTTCTGCAAACGGCATATTTAGTTGCTAATTAGTTGCTGTAGGACAGCATTATTTGTATTATCCCCCCATCATCCCTTAATTGCCGCACCAACACCCACACTACCCCCGAAATACGATAAAATTAAAAAGAGCTCATCAGAGAATATAAACTACGGCGTATTTCGTTGCTAATTAGTTGCTGCAAAATAGCGTTGTTTAAAAAATTTAATTATCAACCCTTAACTCCAGATCATCCCTGCAACCACCTCGGAATAGGACGATACCGGAAAATTCTCGTAGGTGGAAAATAGACGCGGGATATTTAGTTACTAATTAGTTGCTCGTCAAAAACGCAGATAAGAGTATTCTACAAACATCCCCTAACCTCAGATGCAACCCCTCTACTCACTTAGAAACAGTAGATGGTTGGAATTCGCACGCAGATGTTTAAAACTGCTGGATGTTCTGTTGCTAATTAGTTGCTCGCCAAAAACGCAATTAAGAGTATTCTACAATCATCCCCTAACCTCAGATCCTACCCCTCTACTCACTTAAAAATAGTAGACGGTTCGAATTTGCACGCAGATGTTTAAAACTGCTGGATATTTTGTTTGTAATAAGTTGCTGCAAAAAAGCGTTGCTTATAATATTTGATTATCACTTAACTCCAGATCATCCCTGCAACCACCCCAGAATAGGACGATTTCGGAAAATTCTCGTAGGTGGAAAATAGACGCGGGATATTTAGTTGCTAATTAGTTGCTCGTCAGAAACGCAGATAAGAGTATTCTACAAACATCCCCTAACCTCAGATGCAACCCCTCTACTCACTTAGAAACAGTAGATGGTTCGAATTCACACGCAGATGTTTAAAACTGCTGGATATTTTGTTGCTAATTAGTTGCTGCAAAATAGCGTTGCTTATAGTATTTAATTATCAACCCTTAACTCCAGATCATCCCTGCAACCACCCCAGAATAGGACGATATCGGAAAATTCTCGTAGGTGAAAAATAGACGCGGCAAATTTAGTTGCTAATTAGTTGCTCGCCAAAAACGCAGTTAAGAGTATTCTACAATCATCCCCTAACCTCAGATCCATCCCCTCTACTCACTTAAAAATAGTAGACGGTTCGAATTTGCACGCAGATATTTAAAACTGCTGGATATTTTGTTGCTAATTAGTTGCTCGCCAAAAACACAATTAAGAGTATTCTACAATCATCCCCTAACCTCAGATCCATCCCCTCTACTCACTTAAAAATAGTAGACAGTTCGAATTTGCACGCAGATGTTTAAAACTTCTGGATATTTTGTTACTAATTAGTTGCTCGCCAAAAACGCAGTTAAGAGTATTCTACAATCATCCCCTAACCTTAGATCCAACCCCTCTACTCACTTAGAAACAGTAGATGGTTGGAATTCGCACGCAGATGTTTAAAACTGCTGGATGTTTCTGTTGCTAATTAGTTGCTATACATTGTACATTATGCATTTAATACAGATCAATTTGACCCTTTAAAGCATGCAATTCAAATTAATATTTTCGAAGATATTACAGATTAAAAATGCAGGGAAATAGCGGTTCCGACGCTACCGGGCGGTTAGCCTGGCGGCGCGTGCTAATTGTAATTAGGTATTAGAAGTATGTCATTGTATATAATACAAGCCTGAGAACAAAAACTATAGTCAACACTACAGCTTTACACCGAAGCGAGGCTAGGGCGGGCCACTAGTAATTTTCTAAAGCTTAAATTCTTGACAGCAATATATCTTTGTCTTTCTCTATACAGAATGAAAAGAAGTGACTGGTGTTAAATTTAGTTAAGAGAATTATGCATTCCAGAATCGACACTTACGTATCGTTTATAATATTTATGTAGCTATTTACCTGCATCGATATAAAGTACTTTTTTATACATAGTATCATATTTCAACGTAGAAAGAAAGATTTTGGTGTCAGGCATGGCAGCTTTCTCTAAACTTTAATTTGACAAAAGTGTATCAATCTCTGTACAGAATGAAAACGGGAGATTAATGTTAAATTTAGTTTTAAGTTTAGAGAATCATGCAAGAATCTACACCTTTGTTTGTTAAATTATAGATCGTGAATGATTGAATGTATGCTTTTTATATAAAATTTGTCTATGTATATTTGTTTTATCAATTTGCTATTTGTATCGGCAAATGCACTTTATTAAATCTGGTTGAATGTTTTCCAGTATTAAAAATACCATTCATTCATTTCACTAACTTTTCGTCACGTCACTATGAATTCCTACCTATTATTTTTGTCATTCATTCGTCATTTTGCGTAAGCGTGATGGCAGTAGTTAGTCCCCACGCGCTGGTTTTTTCCCGACTCCGAATCGTGTGGTTTAAAATACGGTCACCAAATAAACAAGGGAAATAAAAATATTTACCTTCTTTGAACATGTATATTTTATAAGTTAAAAAGTAATCATCAACATCTAGCAGTGAAATGCTTTTTCTTTTTTGGTATATGTTTTAGGTATATTTACGGGTTTTGATGAACTGTTCTTAGCCAATGTGACCAAGAAATTGTTTTAACGTGAGTCATTGATTTCATATATTTTTTTTTCGTTATACAGCTTCAAGAAACACAACCCGGAATTGATAATGGTACACCAAAAAGCTGTGTTAGTGGCATTTTTTTCTAGTAATCAATAATCCGGTAAAGATTTACATTATCTATTTAGTACATTTACTGTTTATTCTATTTTTATTTTAAGCATTTAACAGCTAGATGTTGATGATTATGATTGATTACTTTTTTACTTATAAAATATTTACATTTTCAATGAAGTTAAATATTTTTATTTCCTTTGTTTGTTTGCTGACCGTAATTTAAACCACACGATTCGGAGTCGGGGAATAACCAGCGCGTGGGGACTAACTACTGCCATAACCGCCATCACGCTTAGGCCACAATGCGAGTACATCTCTCTCTATACAGACGTGTGCGTGTGTGAGAGTTGCTTATGTAGTTGAGTCGGATCATATTTTATTTGATGCTAGTGTATGAGCGTACCGTATCTACCCTTTTTGTTTTAAACTAAGGTGACGAACGAATTTTAAACGGAATTGCGCCAGTGACTATTTCTTATTCGAACACGCACATAAAGTTCAGAATCACCAACAATTTTCGTGAACTAATGTTTGTGAGTTCTTTTTTATCTCCACTATTTAGATTACGTTTTGTACTTGGAAACAATATTACTTTATGTCAATTTTTTTTATGACTATGAAAGAACTTTCTTTTTCACTAATTTGTAGAATTAATACAATCGATTTTATTAATTCTACAAATTAGTAAAAAAGAAAGTTCTTTCATAGTCATGAATAAGCAGCTTTTCATAGTCATGAAAGAACTTTCTTTTTTACTAATTTGTAGAATTAATACAATCGATTGTATGTCAACCTAAATTTGTCGTTTAATACTTTGAAGTATTGGAAATACAAAAAAAAATAAAAATTAAGATTATTTTTTAATATAACATGCAAAAAATTTTCCTCACGCTAAGCAGCCGTGATTAAAAATACTCTAGCAGTTATTTTAGGCTTAATTAAAACGAAAATGAAAAGGTAACACTTTTCATTTCGTCAATTTGAGGATAAGATTTCGAACGCAGAAAAGAAATCTGTCAAATTCAACTTTTCCTTCGAAAGTTTTTTGAATTAGAATAGGTATGGAGAATTTAATCGTCAAACTATTTTCGAATGTTTGAAATGAAAAAGGAACAGAGTAAAGAACGTGCGAAATTTCGATCGAATTTAATTTTTCGGTGAAATAGAGTAGGCATCCTGAGGTAAAGAGATTATTGTAGAACATTTTTAAATGTAAACTTAGCGAACAACTAATTAGCAATACGATATTCTGCAATAATATACATCTACGAGCGTATTCTGGCCGTTTTTTTATTGTAAAGAGAAAGTGATGGTCGATCTGAGGTGAAGAGACGATTGTAGAAAAATATCCCGCATTTTTTATACCCATAAGGGTGCTAGCTGGGATGATTTGGAGTTAAGGGTTGATAATCAAATATTATAAGCAACGCTATTTTTCTGCAACTAATTAGCAACAAAATATCCAGCAGTTTTAAAAAACATCTGCGTGCAAATTCGAACCGTCTACTATTTTTAAGTGAGTAGAGGGGTAGGATCTGAGGTTAGGGGATGATTGTAGAATACTCTTAATTGCGTTTTTGGCGAGCAACTAATTAGCAACAGAACATCCAGCAGTTTTAAACATCTGCGTGCGACTTCCAACCATCTACTGTTTCTAAGTGAGTAGAGGGGTTGCATCTGAGGTTAGGGGATGTTTGTAGAATACTCTTATCTGCGTTTTTGACGAGCAACTAATTAGCAACAGAACATCCAGCAGTTTTAAACATCTGCGTGCAAATTCGAACCGTCTACTATTTTTATGCGGGTAAAGGGGATGGATCTGAGGTTAGGGGATGATTGTAGAATACTCTTAATTGTGTTTTTGGCGAGCAACTAATTAACAACAAAACATCCAGCAGTCTTAAACATCTGCGTGCAAATTCGAACCGTCTACTATTTTTAAGTGAGTAGAGGAGATGGATCTGAGGTTAGGGGATGATTGTAGAATACTCTTAATTGTGTTTTTGGCGAGCAACTAATTAGCAACAAAATATCCAGCAGTTTTAAACATCTGCGTGCAAATTCGAACCGTCTACTATTTTTAAGTGAGTAGAGGGGATGGATCTGAGGTTAGGGGATGATTGTATAATACTCTTAATTGTGTTTTTGGCGAGCAACTAATTAGCAACAAAATATCCAGCAGTTTTAAACATCTGCGTGCAAATTCGAACCGTCTACTATTTTTAAGTGAGTAGAGGGGATGGATCTGAGGTTAGGGGATGATTGTAGAATACTCTTAACTGCGTTTTTGGCGAGCAACTAATTAGCAACTAAATATCCCGCGTCTAGTTTCCACCTTCGAGAATTTCCCGATATTGTCCTATTCTGAGGTGGTTGCAGGGATGATCTGGAGTTAAGGGTTGATAATTAAATTTTTTAAACAACGCTATTTTGCAGCAACTAATTAGCAACAAAATATCCAGCAGTTTTAAACATCTGCGTGTGAATACGAACCATCTACTATTTTTAGTGAGTAGAGGGGGTGGATCTGAGGTTAGGGGATGATTGTAGAATATTCTTAACTGCGTTTTTGGCGAGCAACTAATTAGCAACTAAATATCCCGCGTCTTTTTTCCACCTACGAGAATTTCCCGATATCGTTCTATTCTGGGGTGGTTGCAGTGCTGATCTGGAGCTAAGGGTTGATAGTTAAATACTATAAGCAACGCTTTTTTGCAGCAACTAATTAGCAACAAAATATCCAGCAGTTTTAAACATCTGCGTGCGAATTTGAACCGTCTACTATTTTTAAGTGAGTAGAGGGGATGGATCTGAGGTTAGGGAATGATTGTAGAATACTCTTAACTGCGTTTTTGTCGAGCAACTAATTAGCAACTAAATATGCCGCGTCTATTTTCCACCTACGAGAATTTTCCGATATCGTCCTATTCTGGGGTGGTTGCAGGGATGACCTGGAGTTAAGGGTTGATAATCAAATATTATAAGCAACGCTATTTTTCGGCAACTAATTAACAACAAAACATCCAGCAGTCTTAAACATCTGCGTGCGAATTTTAACCATCTACTGTTTCTAAGTGAGTAGAGGGGTTGCATCTGAGGTTAGGGGATGTTTGTAGAATACTATTAATTGCGTTTTTGGCGAGCAACTAATTAGCAACAGAACATCCAGCAGTTTTAAACATCTGCGTGCGAATTCCAACCATCTACTGTTTCTAAGTGAGTAGAGGGGTTGGATCTAAGGTTAGGGGATGATTGTAGAATACCCTTAACTGCGTTTTTGGCGAGCAACTAATTAGTAACAAAATATCCAGCAGTTTTAAACATCTGCGTGCAAATTCGAACCGTCTACTATTTTTATGCGAGTAGAGGGGTTGCATCTGAGGTTAGGGGATGTTTGTATAATACTTTTAACTGCGTTTTTGGCGAGCAACTAATTAGCAACTAAATATGCCGCGTCTATTTTCCACCTACGAGAATTTTCCGGTATCGTCCTATTCTGGGGTGGTTGCAGGGATGATCTGGAGTTAAGGGTTGATAATCAAATATTATAAACAACGCTTTTTTGTAGCAACTTATTACAAACAAAATATCCAGCAGTTTTAAACATCCGCGTTTGAATTCGAACCATCTACTATTTTTAAGTGAGTAGAGGGGGTGGATCTGAGGTTAGGGGATGATTGTAGGATACTCTTATCTGCGTTGTTGGCGAGCAACTAATTAGCAACTAAATATCCCACGTCTTTTTTCCACCTTCGAGAATTTTCCGATATCGTCCTATTCTGGGGTGGTTGCAGTGCTGATCTGGAGTTAAGGGTTGATAGTTAAATACTATAAGCAACGCTTTTTTGCAGCAACTAATTAGCAACAAAATATCCAGCAGTTTTAAACATCTGCGTGCAAATTTGAACCGTCTACTATTTTTAAGTGAGTAGAGGGGATGGATCTGAGGTTAGGGGATGATTGTAGAATACTCTTATCTGCGTTGTTGGCGAGCAACTAATTAGCAACAAAACATCCAGCAGTTTTAAACATCTGCTTGCGAATTCCAACCATCTACTGTTTCTAAGTGAGTAGAGGGGTTGCATCTGAGGTTAGGGGATGTTTGTATAATACTTTTAACTGCGTTTTTGGCGAGCAACTAATTAGCAACTAAATATGCCGCGTCTATTTTCCACCTACGAGAATTTTCCGGTATCGTCCTATTCTGGGGTGGTTGCAGGGATGATCTGGAGTTAAGGGTTGATAATCAAATATTATAAGCAACGCTTTTTTGCAGCAACTTATTACAAACAAAATATCCAGCAGTTTTAAACATCTGCATTTGAATTCGAACCATCTACTATTTTTAAGTGAGTAGAGGGGGTAGATCTGAGGTTAGGGGATGATTGTAGAATACTCTTAACTGCGTTTTTGGCGAGCAACTAATTAGCAACTAAATATGCCGCGTCTATTTTCCACCTACGAGAATTTTCCGATATCGTCCTATTCTGGGGTGGTTGCAGGGATGATCTGGAGTTAAGGGTTGATAATCAAATATTATAAGCAACGCTATTTTTCGGCAACTAATTAACAACAAAACATGCAGCAGTCTTAAACATCTGCGTGCGAATTTTAACCATCTACTGTTTCTAAGTGAGTAGAGGGGTTGCATCTGAGGTTAGTGGATGTTTGTAGAATACTATTAACTGCGTACGAGAATTTTCCGGTATCGTCCTATTCTGGGGTGGTTGCAGGGATGATCTGGAGTTCAGGGTTGATAATCAAATATTATAAGCAACGCTTTTTTGCAGCAACTTATTACAAACAAAATATCCAGCAGTTTTAAACATCTGCGTGCAAATTCGAACCATCTACTATTTTTAAGTGAGTAGAGGGGGTGGATCTGAGGTTAGGGGATGATTGTAGGATACTCTTATCTGCGTTGTTGGCGAGCAACTAATTAGCAACAAAACATCCAGCAGTTTTAAACATCTGCTTGCGAATTCCAACCATCTACTGTTTCTAAATGAGTAGAGGGGTTGCATCTGAGGTTAGGGGATGTTTGTATAATACTCTTATCTGCGTTTTTAACGAGCAACTAATTAGTAACTAAATATCCCGCGTCTATTTTCCACCTACGAGAATTTTCCGGTATCGTCCTATTCCGAGGTGGTTGCAGGGATGATCTGGAGTTAAGGGTTGATAATTAAAATTTTTAAACAACGCTATTTTGCAGCAACTAATTAGCAACGAAATACGCCATAGTTTATATTCTCTGATGAGCTCTTTTTAATTTTATCGTATTTCG